CGGGCCGCCCGCCGTGCTGCGCTGCCTGCGCGCCGAGCGCTTCTCCGTGGCCGGCCCCGCCTTCCCGGCCGACTTCTGCGAGGGCACCTTGCCCTACTCCTACAACCTGTGCGTGGCGCCGGCACGCGCCGTGGCCGAGTGCGCGTTGCTGCCGGCGCCGCTGCCCAGCCGCGCCGTCGACGATCTTCTCGGCGGGGACCCGCCCGCGATGCTCACGGCCAGCAGCAGCCGCGCCGCGGCAGAGCCGCCCTCGGACCCCGACGGCCTGCAGGTCGGTAAGATGACATCATCCCTCGGTCCTTTCCTTATCCTCTTCTGATCCTTGTTCTTTCATTTATAATTGTAATGATCTTCAGCAGCAATTGTTCTTTAGGACGACACTATCTTTTTCTGGTTCCCTTCCTTATCTTCAAAACATATACATTTGTTCGTAAATATGCCCATTTTTTTCTTTCCGGGGCACTGCGTGGCCACGGCATCCTCTTTCGTTTGCACTTGCCTGCTGCAACGGGAAGGGTTGGTCGTTTTTTTTTGTGACTCTCTTCAGGAAGTGAATGACTGCGCCTCCCGGGTCATCAGGAAACGCGGGATTCGGCCTCCTTGGGAGGCTCTGTGTTTAGGAGTAGCGCTGCTTGAAGTGGAGAACGTCAAGAAAGGCGAAGGTGGATCCTCATTGTTTGCGAGTTCTTCTGAGGTCTTCCCTTTGTGAGTGGGATTTCAAGGTGAGGCCTTTTTTTTTTTTTCTTGGTGTTCTCAGTGTGTTGAGTGCACCGAGGCCGTGTGTGGTCGTGCCGCTGAGCACATAGGGTCTGGAGAAACGGGAAGGGCAGGGGTGGCGGTGCGTGTGTGCCTTGGGCAGCCGTGTGACGCGTGATGTGCAAGTAGGTACTTGCCCTGCCCGGTTTTGGAGGAAGGCTGCTCCAGAAGTGAAAGCCCTCGTGGGTCTCGGCATTTTGGGCCTGAATTCCCTTTCATGTGCCCCTCTGAACTGGGACACGGGGTCCTTTTGAGCCTTTTATTTCCTGAAAGTATCTTCGAATGTTACTTTATTAATGTTACTTAATGTTACTAAGATTGCTATAAAAATGGCAGGAAAACATCTTTCTTCTCCGGCCATCTGGTCGATCATTCAGCTGATGATCTCTGCTTGAGATAACATTTTCAATCGAATTGTTTTCATTATGCACCTGTCCCTTTTCTGTCGTATCTGGATGCATCTGCCTACACCCTGCAGAATTCATTGGCTTTAATTTACGGCACTTAATGAATTAAACATATATTATCGCATTGTATACCCCTACACTAGCGTTGTGTTATAAAAATATCGAGGAGAAAGAGGGCAGAAATAAAATATAGTTGGCGTCGGTGTCTGATATGTGGGTGGAAATAAAAATGACAGGCAATGTAAGGAACACTGCAGATGAAAAGTATCAATTACAAAGTCTAAGGCAAGGAACAGCAAAACAATCGAGTAGCTGGACTAACTGACTT